GTAACAGTCTTTAGTTTTATGTCTCAAGTGCTGTTTCTCCAATAAAGACAATAAAAAGTTCTCTGCTTAACATTTCTTTGCCTTATTAAAAAGTGGTTCATTTACTCTGGTATTGGCTTCTTGATTCACTTTGATTCCCCATCATTTTCCCATCTGTAATCCATCTGAGGCAGGCGATCTTTCCCGTGGTTCACGAAATACAAACGCCAGATACGAAACCCTTTTCTTGCTGAAGGAAAGGCGTGCTGTGGACGTGGAGGTGCAAAATTGAGCCCTTTCGCTTTAGACAGTGTGCGTGCATTGGGGGCCGGGGGTGTGGTTGATACAGCACCGCATGTAGGACACCTCCCTTGCACGAGGGTGACCCTGGTTCCATCCACATTCTCTCATGGGGTCCCATGGGCATCATGAGGAGTTAATTCCTGAAGATTGCTGGGTGTGGCCCCAAAACAGAAACATACGACGAGAAACTTTAAATATCGTAAGAGGAAATTTCCCAAGTGAGAAGAAGTTAGAGCTATTTAAAACTTGTCCATTGGCTCTGAGGGTATCTTAGGGTCAGAGCGATAGCACAGCCAGTAGGGCGCTTAGCTTGCAGGCAGCCAGTCCTGGTTCCATCCCTGGCATCCAGTACGGTCCCTTGAGCACCTCCACGAGTGATTCGTGAGCGCAGAGCCCAGGCAAACCTCTGAACATTGATGGGTGTGACCCAAAAATATATCCTAAAGGAAAACATGACTTACAGATACATTCTAGCTGCCTCTCACAACAGATTAAAAAAACTTCCACCATGGGGGCTGGAGCAATAGCACAGCGGGTAGGGCGTTTGCCTTGCGTGTGGCCGACCCGGGTTTGATTCCCAGCATCCCTTATGGTCCCCTGAGCACCGCCAGGAGTAACCCCTGTGCATCACCAGGTGTGACCCCCCCCCCCCAAGAAACCGAAAGACTTTCACTATAATGATCTTAATGGAATAAAAATATTTTAGTATCTGTTTCCTTCAGTTCTCATGACCCCTGTACAGACACTGGACTAACCTCTTCATACATATTATTTCATCTAATTCTTTGAATATTCTGTAAAGTGAAATACTGAGTTTCTAGACATTGTTTATTTGGTGTCACCCGGGATCATAAGCCGTTCAAGAGCTCTACCACTGAGTTAAATTCCCAGTCTTGCATTCTAATTTTTAAAAACCAAGTAAGGCTATACCTCTGTGTGTGTGTGTGTGTGTGTGTGTGTGTGTGTGTGTGTGTGTGTGTTTAAATATTTGGCTGTGCGGGCAATAGTAATTCTGAGGTAACTATAGTGTAGCACTGTCCTCCCATTGTTCATTGATTTGCTCGAGCGGGCCCCAGTAATGTCTCCATTGTGAGACTTGTTACTGTTTTTGGCATATCGAATATGCCACAGGGAGGCTGCCAGGCTCTGCCGTGTGGGTGGGATACTCTTGGTAGCTTGCTGGGCTCTCCGAGAGGGACAGAGGAATCGAACCCGGGTCGGCCAAGTGCAAGGCAAACGCCCTACCCGCTGTTTTATCGCTGAGGTAACTCCTATGTATAAATTAATGCTTATTTAAGTTTTTTTTCGGTAGAAAAGAATTCTTCCTTCAATAAGCAAAAGCTCTGTTGTAACAATTCTAAATAACTCATAAAGGATAATAAATAATGCCCTAAGGAATGTTCCGAATACAAATACCCTGAAAAAAAATTTTTTTAGCTGCTTATGTCCTTTAAAAGTGTAACTTGGGGCTGGAGAGATAGCACAGCGGGTAAGGCATTTGCCTTGCCCGCGGCAGACCCGGGTTCGATTCCCAGCATCCCACGTGGTCCCCTGAGCACTGCCAGGAGTAACTCCTGAGTGCAAAGCCAGGAGTAACCCCTGTGCATCGCCAGGTGTGACCCAAAAAGCAAAATAAATAAATAAATAAATGTGTAACTTGGCCTGGAGCAATAGCACAGTGGGTAGGGCATTTGCCTTGCATATGGCCGACCCGGGTTCTATTCCCAGCATCCCATATGGTCTCCTGAGCACCGGCAGGAGTGATTCCTGAGTGCAGAGCCAGGAGTCAGCCCTGAACATCGCCGAGTGTGACCCAAAAAGAAAAAAAAAGTGTAACTATTTGCAAGTCTTCAATTGCAAGCTATTTTCTCCATCATCTAGAATAGTGATTCCTAAAACCGATAGGATCCAGGGGGAGTGGTTAGTGTATTAGGGGAGGGGAGGTCTTCATATTCATTCACGTAAAGAGGGCAGTAGGCCAGGTACATTTGGGAACCTCTGAACTAGAACCCACATTCTCATCCCCTCTGTGCCAATAACAAAGTCAAAGGTTGCTAATATGCCCAAGGAAAAAATAATTCAGGGGCAAGAGCACAAGTACAAACAAAACAGACTAGGAACAGTTGAGGGGTCAGAGAGAGAGAGAGAGAGAGTATAGAGGTCAAGGCTTATTTTTCTCTCTGTTTTGTGGTTTTGTGGGTAATACATGGTTTTGGGTAATACACTAAAGGGATCGGTTTTATTTATTTATTTATTTATCCATTTTATTTGTTTACTTTTAAATTTTTATTAGTGAGACACCATGAGGTACAGTTGTAGACTTATAAATTTTGTGCTTGGGTTTCAGTTATACAATGTTCAAACACCCATCCCTCCACCAGTGCCCGTTTCCCACCACCATGGATCCCAGTATCCCTCCCACCCCCCATCCCCCCCATCCCACCATGCCTCTGTGGCAGGGCATTCCCTTTCGTTCTCTCTCTCTTATTGGGTGTTGTGGTTTGCAAAAGAGGCAATGGGTTGCAATCATGTTTAGTCTATAGTCTACTTTCCGCATGCTTCTCCCATCCTGGAGGATCCTCCCAAAACCTGTATTTGGTGCTCCCTTCTCTATCTGAGCTGCCTTTTCCCCCAGCATGTGTGGCTGGCCTCCAAGTAAAGGGATTGGTTTTAGTGTTAAAGTAGATAATTCATCTCCTTTGTCCTTAGATGTAGAATATTTTCCCCTCATTTTCTTCTCTTTATACAGCTTTTTAAAAAATTTTTTGGCTTTTTGCGTCACACCTGGCGATGCACAGGGGTTCCTCCTGGCTCTGCATTCAGGAATTACCCCTGGCAGTGCTCGGGGGACCCTATGGGACGCTGGGAATCGAACCTGGGTCGGCCACGTGCAAGGCAAATGCCCTACCTGCTGTGCTATTGCTCCAGCCCCTCTTTATACAGTTTAGACAAAAATCCTATTACAAGATCCCTACTCAGTTTTATTCTTTTGTTTGTTTGTTTGTTTGTTTTGAGAAGTTTTATTTTTTTGGTTTTAGCTTAGTGACTGGAGTGATAGCACAGCGTTAGGGTGTTTGCCTTACAAGCGGCCAACGTGGCCAACCCGGGTTTGATTCTTCCGCCCCTCTTGGAGAGCCTGGCAAGCTACCGAGAGTATCTCGCCCGCACGGCAGGGCCTGGCAAGCTACCTGTGACGTACTCGATATGCCAAACACAGTAACAACACGTCTCATGTTGGAGATGTTACTGGGCCCGCTCGAGCAAATCGATGAACAATGGGAGGACAGTGACAGTGACAGCTTTGGGACTAGGTCATTACCTGCAGAAAATAGCAATTTCATGCTTAGGCAGAAGTAAACTGAGACAGGATGCCTCTTCTTGGCATGACAATGGCTAACCAGGTCTTCGTTTTTGTCTCCTGACTCTGGGCTTTTTTACTTTAGATTTTGCACTGAGTATTTCACTTTACTTTGCTAGGTGGTCAGCTAACTCTTTTTCCATCCTTAAGTAATCTTTTCCTTGGCCATATTCTTCTATATTCCCTTTTCAGCATACTATTTTTTAGAAAAAACTTATTTTTTGGCTTTTTGGGTCACAGTTGGCAATGCTCAGAGATTATTCCTGGCTCTGCACTCAGGAATCACTCCTAGTGGTGCCTGTGGGACCATATGGGATGCCAGAGACCAAAGCCGGGTCAATCAGGTGCTAGGCAAAACACTCTTCCTGCTGTACTATAGCTCTGGCCCCTCCTTACTGTTTTTTAAAGAACAATCTTTTGTTGAGGCTGAGGATGTGACTCAGTGGTCAAGTGCACGCTTTTCATTCTTGAAATATGGGTTTGATTCTGGCGCCAGAAAATCTTCGCTCATGATTAAAGACTTTCTACATAGATTTTTTTTTTTTTGCTTTTTGGGTCACACCCGGAGATGCACAGGTGTTACTGCTGGTTCTGCACTAAGGAATCACCCCTGGCAGTGCTCAGGGGACCATATAGGATGCTAGTCATCGAACCCGGGTCAGCTGCATGTGCAAGGCAAACGCCCTACCCACTGTGCTATCGCTCCAGCCCCTGCATAGCTGTTTTAAGGGATGACTTCTCTGATCAAGACTTTCTTGACAGTATCTTCCTCAAAAGAAATTGTGAAATTATTTAGAAATTGTGTTGCTAGTTTGAGTACATTTTTTTACCCTTGTTTTTGTCTATTGAGCACTGTCTTTGAGGGTTTTCTCCCTTCGAATTGTTTGAATAAGCCTTGAGTGATAGACTGAAAAACCTTAATTTTGTTCTATAGCCAAAGTTTTTTTTATTTTTTTTTTTTTTATTTTTCCCTCCCGTTGATCGTCGATTTGCTCGAGCGGGCCCAGTAACGTCTCCATTGGAGACTTTGTTGTTACTGTGTCTGGCATATTGAATACTCTCGGTAGCTTGCCAGGCTCTCCGAGAGGGGCGGAGGAATCGAACTCGGGTCGGCCATGTTGGCCGCGTGTAAGGCGAACGCCCTACCCGCTGTGCTATCGCTCCAGCCCATAGCCAAGTTAACCAATAAAAACTAACAGGCTAACAGTACTATGAGAGCTATACGTCTGCCTGATTTTATTCTGATCTCTCATAGCATTTTTTTTGGGGGGGGGAGGGTCACACGTGGCGATGCACAGGGGTTACTCCTGGCTCTGCACTCAGGAATTACCCCTGGTGGTGCTTGGGGGACCATATGGGAAGCTGGGAATCGAACCCGGGTTGGCCGAGTGCAAGGCAAACGCCCTACGCGCTGTGCTATCGCTCCAGCCCCTCTCACAGCATTTCTTTCAGAGACTTCTTGAATATTCTTTTTTGTTTTTTCCTTTACATTGTTTTACCAGTTCAATAAACTAATAGAACAACTCCTGAATCTTTTGTTGTTTTCTGGCCACAACTAGTGGTGCTCGGGGCTTACTCCTGGCTCTGTGCTCAGGGATCATTCTGGCAGTGCTCAGGAGACCATATGGGATGCTGGAAATTGAATCCAGGTTGACTGCGTGCAGGGAAAGTGCCCTGTCATGTATTATCACTCTGGTCCCACAACTCCCAAATCTTAGTTCTACTTCCTTTTTTTTTTGCTTTTCTTTTGCTTTTTGGGTCACACCCAGTGATGCTCAGGGGTTCCTCCTGGCTCTGCACTCAGGAATTACTCCTGCTGGTGCTCAGGGGACCATATGGAATGCCGGGGATCGAACTCAGGTCGACCGGGTGCAAGGCAAATGCCCTACCCGCTGTGCTATCACTCCGGCCCGATTCTAGTTATTTTGATACATCCAGATTCCATGTGTCTGACAGATAACCTTTGTGCACCACATGCTTATCAAACCATTACGTTCGAAAGAGACCATGGGTTCTCAGTTTCTGTAACCTTTGGTGTCACTCTTTTGTTTATCCAAGCCAAAAACCTTAGAGACCACTTTAACTGCTTGATACTGGTTTTAAAACTTTAATCTCTCAAATTTCTTTTATTCGTGGGGGCCACCCTTGGTGGCACTCAGCACTTATTCCTTCCTGGCTCTGCTCTGGAAATACGCCCTGTATTTTCCTACGTGATCTATCATCTTGAAGCATAGATCTCATGGTGTTATTTTCTTGTTAGTTTTTAATTGCTTAACTTTGTCTGTCGAAGCAAATCAAGGTTTTTAAGCCTGTCGCTCAAGGCCTACTCTAAACTTGAAATTCGTATGAATAAGAAAACAGCAGGACAGGAATTGGGTAGGTTTGATGCTGGGATCTAGGGATCTGGGTGTGGGAGGGAAACTGTTTGCCAAACCATCAAAGAACTCTGGGCTTGTTTTTGGCAGTAGACATGGGGGGGGGGAAGCACCTTAATCCCTATAGATTTCCCTGGTCTTGTTTTGAGCTTGGCTATCTCAGAGACAGTTGAAACAATTCTATCTGAAAATCATTGGCTCATAACACCTATGCCCTTGAATCTATATTCCCGCATTAATTTTCCTCTCCCCAAAGACAGTTCATGTGTTTTGCCCTAAATACAGTCCATGGGGTGTTTAACTCTTCCTCTTAGTGTGTCACTTTTTTTTAAATCTGCTATTCTTGAATAATATTTCTTTGGGCTGGAGCGATAGCACAGTGGTAGGGCGTTTGCCTTGTGCGCAGCCAGCCCAGTCGAGCCGGGTTCGATTCCTCTGCCCCTCTCGGAGAGCCTGGCAAGCTACCGAGAGGATCTCACCCACACGAGTATCTAGCCAGCATAGCAAAGCCTGGCAAGCTCCCTGTGACATATTCAATATGCCAAACACAGTAACAACAAGTCTCAAAATGGAGACGTTACTGGTGCCTGCCTGAGCAAAATCAATGAACAACGGGAGGACAGTGTTTGTTTTTTGTTTTATTGTTTTTTTTTAAATAATATGTTTTATGTCATATATGATTTGGTATATGTCATTTCACTTAAAGTGACTTGTCTTCAATGTTAAGTGGGGATTTACTCTAGTATTTCCCCTACAACTATTCTTGTTATTTAGTTCTGCCACTCAAAAAAAAAAATCTTTCCATTTTGAGAATTTCTTGCTAGTGTGTTGCCGTAAAAAGTTGGTTGTGGTTTAGCTTGGGAGTTGGAGAGAATCAGCTCTCAATAGTATAGCAGGTGAGGTGCTTGCCTTGCTAGCTGGTACCTGGGTTGGATCCCTGGAACCACGTCTCATCTTCCAGGAGATACCCCTGAGCACAGAAGCAGACGTTTCTGGGCCCTGAGCACAGCTGCAAATGACCTAGAAACAGAGACAAAATAGTAGAGTTTGCATTACTGCTTCCCAGCTTTGTTAAATGGCTTAATTCTTTCATAGGAGGGAACTTTAAGACCTGTTCTTGAGTACACCGATCTGGTCAGCAGTGATGAAGAGCCAAGCACCTCTCACAGTGATGTAAGTACATCGTTATTTGATTTGCAGTTCTTCACTTTCGTTATTTAAGAGACAGCCTCTAAAGAGAATGATCAAATTTACACGATGTCGGCACTTCCCTTTGTCTTCTCACTGTCTGGTGGCTTCTTTAATAGCGCTCCACTCTTTCAGATGGTGCAGAACTAAAGTGGAATATGCAGTTTTGGCAACAATAACCATTTCTGTTGCTACGCCTGCTGCTAGTTACCGCCTTAGTGATTGAATGAGTCTTTCATATATTAATCTATAGTATGATATAATAGTATATGACGCTGTACTATATTGTAATGGTAATAATTATTGCCATAGTGAGTAGCAATTAACTGTATAAAAGCCCTTAGGGTTTTTAATTTTTTTGAATTTTTACCCATTAGAATATAGATAACATCGATATGGAGATAGACGATTCATCTAATGAATCTGTAAATGCAAGCCGGGAAAAAAAATTAAGACCAGTAATACTCCCATCCTCTTCAGACAAGAATCTTATTAATACATCTGATTGCGAGGAAGGTGAACCATTAGATAACGAATCTTATGAATATACCACGGAGGAAGAATGTGTAGACTCGGATTCAGGAGGGGATCATGATGAAGAATGGCAGCAGATAGGAGGAAGAGGCACAGTGGTCCATGAATATTCCCGGAAAGAGAAGTTTTTGGTAGAAAACATTGATAAAAATGACCCTTTCTCATTGTACAAATTATTCTTGACGAATGATATCCTGCAAATGATCGTTGAAGAAACCAACAAGTATGCTGTTCAGTGCGAAAATAACTCTGCATCTAACAGCAAGAGACAACAGCAGTCGTGGAAGCCTGTTACCCTGGGAGAAATGAACACTTTCATTGGCATTTTGCTTATTATGGGCGTCACCCAAGTGCCAGAAATTAGGTTGTACTGGTCCACAAAGGAAATGTACATGAACACACGCATAAAAAATGCCATGAAGTGCGAACGCTTTCTGGCCATTCTTAAGTATTTGCATTTTTCTGACAATGCCACAGCTAGGACTGAAGACCGGCTGAACAAAATCCGGAGCATCGTAGAAGCCATTGTTGCCACGTGTCAAAATGCCGTGGAACCTGGCGAGAACATCGTCATCGATAAAAGTATGGTTCCGTGGAAAGGGCTTCTGGGTTTCCGCCAGTACCTCCCAGGCAAGACACACAAATACGGAATCAAATTGTATAAGCTGTGCTTGCCTGGTGGCTACACCTACAATCTTGACATTTATTCTGGAAATGATGCCACGATCATGGAGAAGACCCACGCGCGTGACGTTGTGATGAAGCTGATGGGTGGCTTGTTGTTTGAGGAGCGTATCGTGTTCACAGACAGCTATTACACAAGTGTCCCTTTGGCGGAAGAACTTTTGCAGAAAAAAACCTATATTTGTGGTACGGTGAAAGTAAATAAAAAGTTCTTGCCGCGAGAAGCGAAGCGGAAACAAAAACGGGGTGACATTATGAGTTTTGAGAATCGTAGTGGGGTCAGATTTTTAAAGTGGACCGACAAGAGACCGGTTAGCATGCTGACTACTTCAAAGAACCACATGTGCACCATCATCGAAGGGAAGAACGGGAAGTTGAAGCCCGGTGCTGTTTTTTATTACAATATCGCGAAGAAGGGTGTTGACATCTCAGATCAGATGGCATCGTACTATAATTGTCTACGAAAAACCATGAAATGGTACAGGAAGGTTGTGATTCAGTTGATCTGCGGGACTTTGCTCGTCAACGCGTGGTATATACACAAAAGGTGGGGGAATAGACAAATTAATATTTTGACATTCAGAGAAAGGATCATCGATCAGCTCCTGATCGATAGTGACCGCACGGAAGACGTGACGACTGGAGAACCACGGAAAGAAGTCACCCATTTTCTGGACTCGTACACGGAATCGGCAAGAACGTCTCGGAAACGATGTAGGGGATGTTACAAAACCTTATCTGAAAGAGAAGGTAGAAACGTCGCCCTGAAAAAGGCCAAGCGAGTCAAGACGTTTTGCCGCCTTTGTGAGGGTCAGCCAGCGCTGTGTTTGGAATGTTTTAAAAGATTGCATGAAAACAAATAATCACTACACCCCAAAAATTGCCGCTGCGTAATTATTGACTTGACATTCAGGGCTTACTTTCAGTAAAATAGACGTTAAAATTTCAGAGTCACTGGTAAGTCAATTAATTTCCAACCCTGTGGCAGTGTTTTGTACAAACTTGGTGGCACGGTCAGTGGGGCCTGCAGTATTAGCCTCTGTTTCGCGCCAGCGTCCGTGTGTTAGTGACGGAGGCTGTGTGTTTAGAAACCGTAGTGTTTTAGGTAGTGGCCCTTCCCCCCCTCCCCCCGGAATTGATTGTAACGGGTAGTCCGAGGAGTCCTTTGCCAAGCGCATCTATTTCTATGAATTTTGTTTCTCTATTACTAGTGAGGCTGTGAAATGATAACAGGACTTAAGAGCCTTCTAAACCTTCCCGTCTGATACACGGGAAATGTAAATGAAAACTCAAGCTTTGTGGCTCCTTGCGACCTTCTCTTTCCCTGCCTACTTGTAGGTCCTCTGTAGAAATTGGAGCTTTCTCTTCCAGAACCATGTCACTATAAAAAAAAAAAATATGTCTTATTTTGGGAGAAAGGATCCATGGAGAACTTTTAGGAAACAGTGTAGGGAATGGCATATGGTTGAAATATTAGTCTAGTCATTGTAACCTCTGTCCCCACCCCCGACCCCCAATTTTGAACTTGTTATTTCTCGATTGTGATTTATTGGCTGTGAGTGTGACTTTTAAGTGACTATTTCCGTTAATCTCAAAACCACAATAGGAGAATTCTTTGTGACAGTTTTGGCCTTTGTTTTAGCCCAGATTTCTATTAATGGACTCTTGGTGGATTGGAGAACTCTTGGCTCTTTCTCAGGGTGCCAGGAAGCTTCTCTGTTCCCGTCAGGTAGGGGATTAAGACTTGACGGTGGAACCAAAATACTTAGAATCTAGTCTTGGCATTAGTCCCTACCAGTTTTGTGGCTTTGGATCAATTAAGGAGGCTTCTGACCTCCATTGCTTTATCAGAGAAGAGATCGTAATACCTACCTCACGGGTTGTTGTGAGGATGAAATCAGGTATGTGTGAGTTTCATAGAAACTACAGACCATCAAGTAGGACGGTATAGAACTGGGAATTTTTGCTCTTGCTGGAGCGTGAACTCAGAGCTTGTTCTGTTGTGGTTCCCACCATTTCAGTGGGACATTTCCAAGTGACTGCTGCCATCATTAGCTTCCACTTTTATTTATTTATTTTAAAGCTGGGTCTACCGCAGCTGTTCTCAGGATTTACCCTTGGCTCTGTGATGAGGGATTATTCCTGCAGGTGCTTAGGAGACCACATACAGTGTCAGAAATTGGAACCAGGTTGGTTGTGTGCATCATAAGTCATCTGCCCCCTCTAGTATCTCTCTGGTCCCAGCTTCCGTTTTTTTTTAATTGTGTCTGTTGGATGGAATTTTAAAAAATTTTAGTACAGTAGACGTCTTATGTCTAGTTCTTACTCTGGAGAACCCGGCAGGCAGAGTCTGGCAAACTCCCCGTGGCATCTTCAATATGCCAAAAACCAGTAACAATGATAGGTTTCATTCTCCTAACCCTGAAAGAGCCTTGAACGTGGCACTTTCTAAAATCTCTGGGCTAGGTTGAAGGAGACGTTACTGGTGCCTGCTCGAGGAAATCGATGAACAGCAGGATGACCGTGATTGTGACTGTTAGTACAGTAGTTTTTTTAGGGCTGGAGTGATAGCACAGCAGGTAGGGCATTTGCCTTGCACGCAGCCGACCCGGGTTCGATTCCTCTGTCCCTCTCGCAGATCTGGCAAGCTACCAAGAGTTTCTCCCCTGCATGGCAGAGCCTGGCAAGCTCCCCGTGGCATATTCAATATGCTAAACACACTCACAACAAGTCTCACAATTTGTTGTGAGACGTTACTGGTGTCTGCTCGAGCAAATCGGTGAACAACAGGAGGACAGTGCTACAGTGCTACCAGTAGTTTTATTTTTATCCTCATTAAGATCAAGTAGCAGCCACAGTAGCAGAGCATGACTTGAACTGGATATATTTTTTACTTTCTTTCTCAGAGAAACTATTAGATTATTGCCAGTAGTGCTGTTGGAATGTGTAGGCTGGTGGAGCTTGTGGAATGGCTACGATTCCCTGCTGACCTGTGACGGATTCCCTCTTTCCATTATTGATTGCATACTTAGATAAATTATTTAATATTTTAAATGTTTAATCAAGAAAACCATACCTGGGACTGGAGTGGTAGCTCAGTGGGTAGGGTGGCATGTGGCCAACCCCGCTTTGATCCCCGGTAAGTCGTATTGTTCCCTGTGCCACCTACAAGTGATCCCTGAGCACAAAGCCAGCAGAAAATCCAGAGTACCAATGGATGTGACCCCCACCCAAAAAAAAGGCATGAGAAAGAGAGACGAAAGCATACCTGTTGAAGCTCTCTTCATTTGTTCGCTTTGTAATATTCTTTTTTTCTTTCAGAGCTATAAGAAAGTAATTGAGAGTATCGTCTAACGTGGCTTATTGAAATTAGCTTTTTTATTTTGAGTTTTCAACGGTGTCTTTCAAATCTTTAACTATTGTTAATACCGTAAATTTTGAACTCTTACTAATGACTTGCAGTGGGGGGATTATTGGCAAAATTGATATGACTTTTGATATCTGGGCTATAATACATAGGGATTTTTTTAAATAAAATGTACTGTTTTATATCCAGAATGTGTGGAATAAGTGCTTTTTGAGCTTATTCAGAGTACTTCTAAAAGGCATTCTAAACTAAAATGTTCGGCAAACTAACTATACATGGAAAAGATAGTAAAGTAAATAATATATCTCAGTCGATCCTTAACAGACTCCCAGAAAGGCCTACAATCACTTCATGTAACAAGAGGGAAATACAGATGAGGGTTAGTTAAAAGAGATGATGGTCTTAACTGATTATTAATAAAATACCTATTTTTTGAGAACTTAGAATCATGTAAATATACTGCCACCATGCCATTTTTTATTTTTGTATGCGGGTATCCATGCAAATAAACTTGGTCAGCTTCATAGTAATTTTTGTCATTGATCTAGTTTTTTTTATTTTTTTGTTTGATTTTTTTTCCTTTTTTAAATTTTGAATTAATGGGGCTGGAGCAATAGCACAGTGGGTAGGGAATTTGCCTTACACACGGCCGACCCGGGTTCGATTCCCAGCATCCCATATGGTCCCCCGAGCACCGCCAGGAGTGATTACTGAGTGTATGAACCAGGAGTAACTCCTGTGCATTGCTGGATGTGACCCAAAAAAGCCAATAAATAAATAAATAAATTTTGAATTAATTAAGGCAAATGGGAACTTTTTAGACATTTCAAAGGCAATCAGTAAATGTTATGTGTAGAATAGAGGCAGAATTGTTAGCAATTTTTAAAAGATAAAGGTAAAGGTAAAGGCCCTCCCGTTGATCGTCGATTTGCTCGAGCGGGCCCAGTAACGTCTCCATTGGAGACTTTGTTGTTACTGTGTCTGGCATATCGAATACTCTCGGTAAGCGTATATGTATGTGGCAGAGGAAAGACGTTTGACTTTTGTGCTTGAAGCTTCTATAATAAATTTTTGAATCCTGTGATGCAAATTAAAGTACTTAGAGTCATTTTTCTGTGCTGAAATTCCTCTGAGTAAATTTGATAGTCTTTAAATTACCCTATGATTAATCGTTATTATCTTTTTAATTGAAAAAATGTAATAGATACAGAAACTATCCAGATATTTAAAAAAAAAACCCTATTTTAAAAATTTTGCTTTTCATAGATAATACAGGTGCCTGAAGTGAAGCACCTTCGTTTCCAAATTTAGCATTGGGTTTTGTTGGAGAATCAGTCACTTCCTTAGCCATAAGGCCAGAACGCGCCACTGGACCAGGCTGTGAGACAGCTGGACCTCTCCAGGTTCTTGGGATGGAGCAGTTACCTCCAGAAGAAACTGCACGTAGATGCCGCACAAAATACCAGTGATGCGGCAGACCAGAGAATTTCTAGTCAAGTATGTGGTAGGTTATTTTTGGAAATAGGCTTTTTCCCCACACCCCCAAATAAAATTGTCACATGCGGTAAATTTGTTCCATTCCTACCTCAAATCAAGTTTCAGAAAACAAACTGAGGTGGAATAAAGCGTTCTGATGAAGCCGTGAGAGAAACAGAGACACGGATGAATAGTTCTGTGTTCTCTGAAGGAAAAAGGACATTCCCAAGATGCAGGTAGTGCGGCCAGACTCCCCAAGTCAAACTTGCCAAGGTATGGTTTCCTGCACGTGTGTCGGATTATCTTCCTGTGTGTACCTAGTAGGTCAAGATTTTCAGATTGTGGCAGAATATGTGATCTGCGTGTTCAGGTTTTCTCTTTTGAATTTTGTTTTTTATGTATTCGACAATTTTGCAGCTTTTTAAATTTTTGTTTTTAAAACCTGGTGCACTGATGTTGTGCGCACACACACACATATATATATATATATATATATATATATATATAGGCTTTCACGAGACGGTTTTTCTTTTCTTAAACCAGCTGTTATTCAAGTGAGGTCATGTTGCTGGGAGTAACCCTGCTTCACACCTTTCAAAGACCCTTTCACAGAGACCACTAGTCTGGGCTCATATGGCTCCTTGGCGAATTTCTTTTTTTGTTTTGTTTATTTGTTAATGCTGCTCTTTCTGGTTTCCTAGTGTGAATGCGGAAGATTTCTGGCCCTACCCCTGCAGCCAGATCCTCCCCCCAGCAGCAGTAAATAGAGGACAATTCCAGAACTTGCAGAGGAAACCGTTACGAAGTACGTTCTGGATCTTTCAAAGACCGGTTGTAGACAGTCTCAGTCCCTTTGCTTTGGGCATTCCATCCTTAAAACCAAGGCAGGAGCACAGCAGACGGGGCACTTATCTTGCACACGGTAGACCCAGGTTCAATCCCTTGCATACCGTATGCTTCCCCAAGCCTGCCAGGAATGATCCCTGAGCACTGCAGGGTGTGGCTCCCCCCCCACACACAAAAAAAAT